TTACCACGTATTAGTTTATTGTTCTTCGAACTTCGTCCTCATTTCCCACATTACGCTTACAACAGTTTTAAATAATACCTAGTTCCAATTTGTAAACAGTATCTCTACAAATTAGAACTAGGTATTTTTTCAAACTGTTTTAAGCGAAATGTTGGAAATGAGCACGAATTTTGAACAAGAATAACCTCTGCAGGGGTAAAACGGTGCAAGGGTAAAACCATCTATACAATTCTGATTAAAGAAACCTGAACAATGTTTTGTAAATTTGTTTATCGAAAAATTTCTTGACACGATATATAGAAAGCACTTAAATACATCTACTTCACTTACTTTTTCTCTATGATGAGCAGAAAAGCTAGGCACCAACTAGAAGTTCTTCCACTATATGGTCTCTAATACAGTCGAGTGTCATCAGTGTCACCATTCATTGTCATTTTCTTCTTCTTCAAGTTCATTTTTTATGAATGGCACGATACGTTGTCTTGTGTATCGTTCGACCGGTTCAACGATGCTTTCTATTCGGCTAATTACATTTTGTATTCGGCTCGATGCTGGTGGTAATCGCCGTCGTTTGTGTGATTCGTCTTCGGGCTGATGTCGGCTGATATCACTAATTGATAATGGCCGCTTTTGTGTATGGTTGACGATTGTGATGGTGGATTAGGTTTTCCGTCTCCCGTTTGTGTTGTTTGAGATGCTGTTCTTTGTCGTCTCTCCTGCATCGATGCTGAGGATGGTAACATCGTGGACGAGAATGGAACAGGTGGTACGATTTCAGTGGTCGTTGCTGCTCTCGGATGTTGTGAGACAAATGAAATGGAGGATTGAGTTGGTCGATTATTGATATCGGGCAAATGTTCGACCAAAATTGTGTTGTTTGTGACCCCATTTGTTACTAAACAATGAATTAGAAGTTTTTTCACGTGTGAAAGTATAGTATTACATATCTGTATGATTAAACAGTTGTCTAGTGAATTTTTCATCAACAAACGCTATTTTTCAAGCCTTTCAAGTCAAGAATACGTAGTTGCTATTCCTGGAGGAAAAAGCTTCAACTACTTCTTGGTTTGTGTACATGGCAAACATAGGGACAGTACATTTCAACAAGATTCCTCTAACATATCTCTTCAGATCAGAACTTGAACAAATGATAGATCTTTACAGGAGGATCCTCAATCAAAACAAACATTGATAATTTTCAAAAGAAATGAGAAGACTAGCTAAATTATCGCGGTACAACCAGGAGTAACGTTTCAAAATAAAACTCATATAGATGAAAGATTAAAGAGAATGATAAATGAGATCATAAAATACTTTGAAAACGTTTGCACCAAATCTAGAGCTTTACAGAAATGTCAAAAAACGGGAAATTTTAGAAAGAATCTAATTCCTGATGGTAAGTCATGAGTTGGCATCAAAATGAGAGAGGACAAAGTCATAAATAAATTTATTTAGCACTTACTTTTTAAGAAATAACTCAACAGTGCTTCACGTACCAATGTGGGCATCATATCGACCTTGTTCTTAATTTCTAACATTTTTTCATCACTAACATTGTAGTTAATTCGAACTTCTCGACGACCATTTACAGATGAGGTGGAGTCATCTTGACTAACTGTGTTGCTATCCGTTGCTCCACTGTTGAGTTCTTCTTGATCTACGGTCGTAGGTGGTAATGAATCGGTTGTAGCTTGAGCAGACGGTCGATTAACGGTTTCTAATTGGTCGACGCTTGACAATATAAAATCAATCGTTGTCGATGAACTTGTGCTTGATGATTGCTGCTGTGGTTGTTGCTGTTGTGCATTGAGGGGTGATTGAGTTGAAAGAAGTGATCGCTGCGAAACAGCTGCTAAAGAAAACCGTGATGAAGATGCGGTGATCGATTGTAAAAACTTTATACCAATATATTCGTGATGAATTGCATCATCTTTCAACAAAATATAAAGTATAAATACGCGGTCAGCGCAATCAGTTCTAAATTCAACAGTCTAAAGTTATGGAAATTCACGATGACTAAGGACGAATACTGCCAAGATCCAAGAGACTATATCACATATGAATCATACATTCAAATTCAAAAACCGTTCTCGTTTTAGCTATAAAAACTATCGGTTCTCTAAAAAATGCGAACCGTTCTCTTTTAAATATTTTTCCGAGAACGTAGATTAGGCATTTTTTATTTTCAAACAAGTTCGAAGTGAGTGATTTATTTTATAAGAAGAAAATGAACGTCGACGCCTGTGTTTATATTAGGGATAGAGAGAGATAGACAGACGCCAGATGAGCATATATTTTTCGCGTGTGTGTGTGTGTCTAGTCTAGTCTAGACATTATCTGTGGGAGTGGAAAGAGAAAAAGTCCATCGTGACGTATAGCATTAAGATATAAAGGTATGTAACTTAACTTATAAAAAGTACACACATCCTTTGTTTTAGATTAAACAATTTTACTAAACAAAATTTCTTAAAAAAAGAAATATTTAGTTCAAAAAATTTACTTCCGCTATTTGATTTCAAAGAACACCCCCCATGAGGCATTTTCGATAAATTTATCACGATAAATGATATTTTTATCCACCCGTCACCGATTTTCTACTATTTATCGAAAGAAAAAATTCATCGCGATAAAGGATTTTTTTATCGCAAAAATCTATTTTATCGTGATACCTGTCGATACATATATCCTATTGTAATTAGCTATGATTTATCGCGATGAATTTTTCCTTTCGATAAATTGAGAAAAATGGGTGACGGGTGAATAAAAATATCATTTATCGAAAATGCTCTCATGAGTAAGTGGCGTAACGCAAAAAATGGTTACAAATGCAAAAGTTTGCAAAATTTTCATACTTTGTTTTAATACAAAATTTTGTAAATATAAATGTAAGAGTAACAGCAACTGTTTTGAAATTCATTTTAATTTTATTTAATTAGAAATCAGGGAGCGTTACATGATTTCTAATTAAATAAAATTAAAATGAATTTCAAAACAGTTCCTGTTACTCTTACATTTGTATTGAAATTACCACCCCTTAACAAGTTAAATATTTCTAATTTTGTAAATATTTTGTTCTACTAGAGTATACAAAATTTTGTAAAATTTCTCTTTTGTAACCATTTCTTGCGTTATGCCACTAACGTTTTTGCATTTTTTGTTTGCATGACTACGCAGAAAAGCTTCTGCAGTTTCTACGTGGGCGGGGATTTCAACAACTATACTTGTCCTTTTATAAAACCAGATCAACTAATAAAGATATATGTGTATTTGTATGATGAAACAAAATAACAGTTTTGTATTTTTTCGTTTTCCTACCTTGTTCGAATCTTTCTAACATTGTTTTCTCTATATGTCTTGTTTATCTTCTCTCTGCATAATAACTAATGTTCAACCAATAAATAGCAAGAAAAAAAATTCGAAGAGAAATGGAGTATACTGCCAATTCCAACTGCAGCAGAAAGTTTCTTGTTCAAAAAGAGGGATAGAGAATATCTGGCAAAGAGGAAACACACTGAAACACAATATACACATGCCACTTGAAAAAAGCACAAATATTATAATTAGAAACACAATCGTGATATTTTTATATGGCAAAAAGGAGTCTTTTGATTGCTCGATATGAAAGAATTCTTTCATACACTAAAAGAAAAAAACTCGCGAAATAGAACATGAAATCAAAAGTTCCAGTGGAAACGCCGTATAGAAAAAGCGTAAATTTTAAGATGTAAAGAAAAAACCGTATGATAAAATATGTAAATCCTAAAATCACGAAAAATAATTCAACTTTTACAGCAAAACGACAGCTTTTTTCCGTATCATCAGTTGAATTATTTTTCCTGACAGGACGCTTAAAGTAAAATTATCGAAAGAGATCTGCAAATAGGTAATCAAATATGCTAATCACGATGGTAAATTTAGTTTCTTTAAAAGCCTTGAGGATCTTCAAAAGGTTTTCTGGAGACCCTCCGGAGGCCTGTTGCACAATTTTTTGTTTCCTTCTTTGCCTTCATCAGATAAGACATGAAAAGTTGCATAATGTGTAAAATTTCATATCGAGATAAAACACCGGAAAATCAATCTCCTCATTCATCGGGATTAAAATTTAATCGTGACACTTTTAACTTCTTGTCGAGATGACCATTTTTATCACGATAATACTCGATAAAAATCTGTTAGAGTTTATCGCGATAGTTTTGTTTTCGAAGATAAAGATCACATATATAATGATCATACTCTTATCAAGATAAAGTCTGATAAATATTTATCGCGGTTTATTGACATAGAGATATTCACAATGCTGAATGACTTGTATACCGCGATAGTTTCGTCTATTGCGTTATATCGAGACACTGCGATAAACTGCAATAACCTTTATATCGCGACAGAGTTGCTCATTATCACGATATTTCAGCACATTTCTATGGCGGATCTAGAAAAAAATTTCCGTGCTGACGGATTTGTACAAAAGAGCAACATAATCGATGAAAAGTTCTATGCGTTTGGCACGTAGCACAAGAAGGAGAGTATAATAGTACGAAATCAAAAGTTTTGGTGCCGACGGCCGCCAGTACCGACAGCAACGTAAATCCGTCACTGGCTCATTTAGCATAATATCTCGATATATCACAAGTTTTCAACCAAAATTACCCTCATGGGAGTCATGCGACGAGGTTAATTCGTACATGTTTCAGACCATCACGCATCATTGACATTTTTATTTTACATACTTCATAATAGGATTAACAGACGTTTTAACTACATGGGTTTGAGAGCATCGTTCCCAAAACATATATTCAAATTTTTGTTTTGTTGCATTAAGAGAGTTTAAATGAGATTTTGAAGTGAAGATATTTGAGAAAACTTTCTATATCTACGAAACACAGTCGAATAAAAGAAGTTTTCTTTCTTTGAACAAACTTCTAAAGTATAAGCAAAAAGCATGCAGCATTTATAAAAGTTTACTGGTTTCAGCTGAATCTGATTTTTGAAACGTACTCTTAAGAACGAGAATGTCGATACGAATTAAAACTATTAATTTAGATGTAATATTATATGTCTATCCATCTTTGTAGAGCTCATTGCGTAAAATATAGATCCATGTTTTGTTTTGTTTTGAAATACCAATGCACCATTCATAGTGAACCGGAAATCACAAACCATTTTGGTTTTCGATTTATAGCTTCTGAAAGGTATTCAAAACTCTGAGCTTTACCGGAAGTCCATTAACACTTGAAATCTTAACCAATGAAAAAAAATGATAATAAAAAGTAGCTAATTGTTTTGGGCAATTGCCCATTTCATTTGGAGATTTGCCCATTGAAATTTTAGAAAAATTAAATTTTCTCTTGATTTTGGTGTCTGAATTTGAGATGTAAATGTTATAAACAGAGGCATTAAAAATAGACTAAAACACAGCTGACTTAGGCTTAAAATTTGAGTTTGATGCATATTTGATTAAAAAAATTTCATTTCATTTTTTTGTGCTCTTTTTCGATCAAAAATATTTTGGTCCATCAACAAAAGCCTTGTCCGTTCTGCCCATCGTTTTTTTTGCACATAATAGAAGTTCGCCCATGGGTCTAGAAATCCTGGTGACGCCGCTGGTTGCCATTCCCGCGAACATAAAATTATAAAATGAACGATCAATTATTCCTTTTTTTATTAGTGTAAATAGTGTTTTATGTTGTTGCTCAATTTTGAATATTAAACATTAAATTAATAAACATCTATTTCGCTCTATTGTGTCCCTTTCACTTGAACCTGTAATTGACCGAGCAATGAAAAATTGTATTAAAAACAATTGAACGTTGTGACGCAAAGCCCGTGCAACGAAAAGACCTAGCACCCTATCTGACGGAATCACATTTTCAACCACCAAAAACATTACATTTGTGCCCTGGATGTAAAACGATCGGAACGAGGATTTATTGGTTTTAAGAATAAAAAGATTTATTGCCGCTAGGTTTATCTCGTTAGAATTGGCTGTTGATTAACAGTTATATATACGGATAATAAAGCAATTTTTTTTCTTATAGGAACAAGCAGACAACAGTATTAATCAGTCGATACCAAAACAATTAGCAGACGGAGAAGTGCAACATAATGTATTCTTTTTTATGGTGGCTAGCTATGAGACAACTGCAACAACGCCTGTTTATTGCACGTACGTTTTGGCTAATTATCCCAAAGTACAAGAAAAATTACAAGAAGAAATTGATCATCATTATCATAAAGAATATGGTAATTATTCTGATTACGATATTATCAGTAATATGGAATATATGAAATTATTTATTAAAGAAGTCTTACGTATGTTTCCAGTAGCAATATCACAAACAACTAATCGCCAATGTGTACGAGAAACAACAGTTTGTGGCTATAAAATAGCTAAAGGTAATTTATCTTAGTTCTACTTCGACTGCTTTTTGTACGATTATTTTTTGTGTACTTATATCAAGGGGGGAAAAGCGGACTTCTGTGGACTCCTGAAGTCCAGGAGTCCAAGAGCTCTTGTAAAGCTCAACATCAACCAGTTTCCATATACAACATCTGAATGAACATCTAATTCGTATATAAAGAGCCGATCAAAGACACATCTCATATTTCTCAGGTCGACGTGAATGCACGCTTTGTTAAACATACATTACTTGTGATCTTGAATAATAAATAGATATATATAAAAGAACTGGAGTATAAAAGGAATAATAAAAAAAAGA